GCACTAACTGGAGAGGATGGGCACCTGCGGCTGGAGCTTGCTGGAGTGGTGGCGGTGATGATGTGCATGACTACGGTTTGGTGTGTGTGTGTGTGTGTGTGTGTGTGTGTGTGTGTGTGTGTGTGTGTGTGTGTGTGTGTGTGTGTGTGTGTTGTTTTGCCATACCACACGGTCATTAGTACACTCTGGCGTGACGTAAATCACTTCTCAAATATGCATTCCTCAGCAGCCTGCATTCCACCTCCCTCCTCCCCCTCCCACCTCCTCCTCCCCCTCCCACCCTCCTCCCTCCACCTCCCCCCTCCCTCCTGCCTCCCACATCCCACCTCCCTCCTCCACCCCCCACCACCCCTCCTACTGCTCCCGAGAAAAAAAAACCTTGAAATTTATTCCTTTGCACTAAACAGATTTAATGCAACTGTACACTGAAGAGTTTCCTGAGGGTGTCGTTGAAGAAGAGAACTGAAAGATAGTTTATACCAGGTATTTCTGCACGGCTTCTCTCACAATGACCTGTACAGGCGGTCGGGTCAGGTTGTGTCGACCAGTATGTTTGTAACAGAACTGGAGAACGGGACCACCTAACTCATTCATACTTGGTATTTGTATTCACCTTGACCTATCCTCCTCCTGCTGTTATACTGAAGGTCATTAAGGTCGAAGGTCAAGGACGCAACTTGGTGTGAGTTGACTGATCGCTCGAGTGCAGTCACGTTCCATTTATTGATACATTTACCCAATAATTACTCATACGTGTAGACATTCAATCCATTCATTATATATTTCATCATACATTTACCCTTGATTAACCATTATTACTGTATTTATTCATCGATTATACATTTGTGAAAGATGCAATTTAGTCCGTAAGTAGCTGTTGTCACGCACAGGTATTGGTGCATGCAGTAGTTAGTGTTGAGGGTGGTGGGTGGTGATGGGTGAGTAACAAAGGGTGACTAACAAGTGAATAACGGTAATGAGGAAGTATGTTGATGAGTAAGTAGCAGGGATAAATAATAGGGATGAGTGAGAATAAGGGATGAGGAAGCTTGTGCCGGGTGTGTCAGTGAGTGAAAAACAGGAATGAGTAACAAAGTGAATAAAGGATGAATAACTGAAAAGAATGAGTTGAAATGAGTAAATAACAGCGGTGAATAAGAGTGGAGATTAACTGAGTGTAAGGATCTAAGAGAAGTGAGTAACACAGGTGAGTAACAAGAGAATGGATGAATAACAAGCATGAGTAAGAACATAATGGGTGAATAACAAGGAGGTATGTGGAGAGATGAGTAAAAATTCAGTGAGTGACCAGCAGTGGGTAACAGCTTCTCACGATTTGTCTTCGCAACTGAGCCGAGACTCTACCAAGGACACCACCTCAAGATCACCTTCGCCTCTCCTTCCCTCTCTCCCTCCTTCCTCCTCACTCTCCCCCTCCTCCCTCTCTCACCTGGGAGTGGGGAGGGAACGGATGGGGGTAACAGGAAGTGTGGAAGGGGGGGAGGAGGTGGGAACAGGAAGAGAGGAAGAGAGAAGGATTTAAATAAAATAAAATGTAAGAATAGATGGAATTGCAAGAAATGGAAGAGGAGGAGGGATAGACAGAGGAAAAATGGAGTAAGAAGAGAGGATGAAGAAATAAAAGAAAGAGATGGGAATTAGCACGTAGAGAGAGACAGAGAGAAGAAGAGCTGAGAGAGAGAAAGAGAGAGGAAAACATTTAGAAGATGAATGAAATATAGAATGAAGAAAGGCATAAGAAGGAAGAAATATGTGAGGTATGAAAGAAGACAAAGAAAGAAATAAGAATGAAAAGGTAAATAAACAAGAGAATAATGTATACGAAGAAATGAATAATAACAGTTAAGAGGAAAACTTGACACAATTATATCATTTACTCTATTTATTCATTTATCAATTTATCTATCCTTTATCTTCCTTCCTCCTTCACTCTTCTTTAGGGGTCAAGGGAAACAGAGATAACCAAAATAACAGATGGTGTGGTAGACGCCGATAATAGAGGGCAGGGATAACTGGTAAATGATAATATCCACAAGTATTTAATCTTATCCTCAACTTGTAAACAGAATCACAACAACACGTCAGCTGAATCCCTGTGTTGTGTTGTACTGTGTTGTGTTGTATTGTGTTGTATTGTACTGTATTGTAGTGTGTTGTGTTGTAGTGTGTTGTGTTGTAGTGTTTTGTGTTGTAAATTTAGTCTTCGAGAAATCGTATGCTTTTTAAACTAAGACCGAGTGAATGGTCATAACCCTGGCAGTTGTAGTGACTTAAGCCACCATAACTGATGAAACTAGGGATTAATGAACACATGTTACCCAGAAATTCCCTAGTTAATATTTTATCCCTAGATTGTGACGTCACATCTAGTTAGGGAGAGAGAAAAATAATAATATGCTGATAGAAAATTTCATTCGTTCAGTAATCAGTTAATATGTTAATCAGTTGCTTATCCAGTCAGTCAGTCAGTAGAGGCAAGTGTCTGACAGCAGGTACACAGAAGAGCAGCATAAACAGTAATGACAAGAGAACTCCCACGACACTCATTATGAACACAACCACCACCATTACCATTACCACAACCACCAACATTACCATAACCACCACCATTACCACCACTACCATTACCACTGTCACCGCTACAACCACCACTGTCTCCACTACTAGCAGCACCACCACTACCACCATCACCACACCACCACTCATTACCACCACTACCACCACCACCACCACCACCACCACCACCACCACCACCATCATCACTATTACCACCGTCGCCACTACCATTCCCATTACCATCAACACCACTATCACCATTACCATTTACCACCACCACTAGCTATCACCACCACCAACAACAACAGCCACCACCACTGCACAAGAACAAGGTCAGGCGGACTGGGGCAGTGGGGCTGAATTGGTCGTTTAACCGGAGACGGAAACACATTGTCCAGACTTAGAACTCACGCAATGGCCGACGTCCTGTTCCCCACCACCCTTCTCCACCCCTCCTACACATCCCATCCTCCACCACTTCTCCACCCCTCCTCTACCAATTCTCCACCACCCATCCTCCATCTCCGTTCCCCAGCCCTCCTCCACCTCCCCCCCTCCACATCGCCTCCTCCATCACTTCACCATCCCTCCTCCACCTTCCCCTTTCTCCAAATCCACTTCTCCACCACCTCCTCTCATTGTCTTTCTTATTCTCCTCTCCCTCCCTCTCTCTCCCTCTCTCCTTCCACCCTCACAATCACCCTCCACTACCACTATTCTCCCTCACCCTCCCTCACCTTGTCCTCTCAGTTTTTTAAGCCTTCATTAACTCCTCGTGTTTGTGACGGTCGAAGGGATGGACTGGCTACTTCACCTCACCAAGTATTTGTTTCCCGGGAATTGTGTTGGTGATTTGGGTCAGTATTTGTGCTGTGAGAATTGGCTGGATATTGCATTGTAATGATACCCGCCTTTGTTCACCCTCGGCCTCAAGTGACGTTTCCTGCTTTCCTGAGTCAGTCGAGTAGTATTATGTCCTTTGAGTCAGTTGAGTACCACTATGGTCTCTGAATCAGTTGAGAGAGAGAGCAAATTAATATGTTTGTTGTTGTCGTCGAATTTAGTCGTTTGTTGGGCCCTAGTTCTAATATGTTCTAGTTCCATTAGGCCCTGTCTTATTAGGCCGCATTCCTCATGTCCCAAGGTTAGGTAAGGTCAGGTTTATGTCTTGAAACCTTGTTATTTTTTCTATGATAAAATGTTGCAGCATTTTCTTCCTTTTATTTGTGTCTTCTTCTTCTTCTTTTTCTTCTTTATCTTCTTCTTCTTCTTCTTTTTCTTCTTTATCTTCTTCTTCTTCCCATCTCTAGTAAACAGTGCCTTGTGGATAGGCGTTCCAAGGGGGTTACTTACTCCCTCTCTTGTCATAGTCTTGCGTGTTTATCCGGGCGATATCTCAACCGGTTATTGAGCTGAGGAGTTGGAATCTGGACACAATAATCAACAAGTGTTAGACGTTTTTATATATTTTTATTATTATTATTTTTTTATGGTATGGCAGGGAGGGGGGGGAGGGGTTACTGAACATATTGCTACGTGTTCCTTCTTATTTTTTATTCATTTTCGTCTTCCTCTTCGTCTTCTCATCTTTTACCTTCCTTTATTTTTACCTTCCATTCATATACTGATTTTGTTTCTCTCACTCATTTTTATTCATATTATTTTATATATATTTTCTTTATTCCTTCTCCCTCTCTTTCCTTACATATATATAACACCATTTATTTATTTTTTGTTCCAATGTTCAAATTAAATTATAAAAATCCCTTGAATATGACGCAGGAATTCCACAATATCACAGGTTTTGTGCGAACTGTGAAGAGTGAGAGCGCTCGAAAATACTGGCCTAGTATTTTTCGACATTTATGAAATCATATTCAGAGGATTAGATTATGGCTGTGAGAGTAACGCTGAACACACACACACACACACACACACACACACACACACACACACACACACACACACACACACACACACACACACACACACACACACATATACTCACTCTACAACGCCCCGTAATTCACCCAAATGAATACAAGAGTTTAAATATTTTACCGAAATTGGACAACAGTTCGATCCAGAGTGTCCAATTTATTTTAATTTACACACGTAGCTTGTCGCTTTAATGTCCTTTTCTTTATTGTCTTGAGACTAGGACACCGTATAGTGCCTGAGGACATATGTTGCCTTAGGACGAGGACATTAGTTTGTCTTGAGCTAAGGACATTATATTCTTAAGACTAGTATTGTCGTCTTCCGTCACACCGTCACACCTGTTGTGGGTTGTACCGTCACACCTGTTGTGGGTTGTACCGTCACACCTGTTGTGGGTTGTACCGTCACACCTGTTGTAGGTTGTACCGCCACACCTGTTGTAGGTTGTACCACCACACCTGTTGTAGGTTGTACCGTCACACCTGTTGTAAGTTGTACCGTCACACCTGTTGTAGGTTGTACCGTCACACCTGTTGTAGGCTGTACCGTCACACCTGTTGTAGGTTGTACCATCACACCTGTTGAAGGTTGTACCGTCACACCTGTTGTAGGTTGTACCGTCACACCTGTTGTAGGTTTTACCGTCACACCTGTTGTAGGCTGTACCGTCACACCTGTTGTAGGTTGTACCGTCACACCTGTTGTAGGCTGTACCGTCACACCTGTTGTAGGTTGTACCGTCACACCTGTTGTAGGTTTTACCGTCACACCTGTTGTAGGTTTTACCGTCACACCTGTTGTAGGTTTTACCGTCACACCTGTTGCAGGTTGTACCGTCACACCTGTTGAAGGTTGTACCGTCACACCTGTTGCAGGTTGTACCGTCACACCTGTTGCAGGTTGTACCGTCACACCTGATGCAGGTTGCACCGTCACACCTGTTGCAGGTTGTACCGTCACTGTTCCATAATAAAATATAGTTTACCTGTATTGTTTTTCATTAAATAAATCTTTTATGATTAATTTAAATATTTTTTGTCATTATCTTATTAAGTAACTCCGCCATAATTAATTAAGAACGTTAATTTTTTTCATTATATGATTCGTTAATTAACTTTTTCATAATTTTACGTAAATTTTTTTTTACAGATTTTTTTCAATCCTTAATAACTTATCCTTATTTCAGTATAAAATATAGGTCTTCTCTTAATGACCTCCTCAATTAATTAGTTATTGTTCTATCATTAAATTACTCCTCAGCATCAGCTCTGTCATTAAGGCTCCGTTAAGACACTAGAGGGATAGTTTTTACTCACCTGGTGATTATTAACTAATATTGGATCAAGTCTTAAGATAATAATTCATTATTTCTTTAATTACACCAAAACTCAGTCAAAAGTTTCATAATTTGCGTTGTTTTTATTCTTGTCCGTCCGTGTCTCTGTACGTGGGTGTGCTGTAGCTCCCTCAGTGTACGTGGGTGTACTATAGCTCCCTCAGTGTACGTGGGTGTACTATAGCTCCTGGCTCCCTCAGTGTACGTGGGTGTACTGTAGCTCCCTCAGTGTACGTGGGTGTGCTGTAGCTCCCTCAGTGTACGTGGGTGTACTGTAGCTCCCTCAGTGTACGTGGGTGTACTGTAGCTCCCTCAGTGTACGTGGGAGTACGGTAGCTCCCTCAGTGTACGTGGGTGTACTGTAGTCTCAGTGTGCGTGGGTGTACTGTAGCCCCCAGTGTACGTGGGGTGCTGTAGCCCCCAGTGTGGCATGGCCCCTCAGTGTACGTGGGTACTGTAGCCCTCAGTACGGGGTGTACTGTAGCCCTCAGTGTACGGGTGTACTGTAGCTCCCTCAGTGTACGTGGGTGTGCTGTAGCTCCCCAGTGTACGGGGTGTACTGTGGCCCTCAGTGTACGTGGGTACTGTAGCCCCAGTACGTGGGTGTACTGTAGCCCCCAGGTACGTGGGTGTACTGTAGCCTCAGTGTACGTGGGTGCTGTAGCTCCCAGTCGGGTGTACTGTGCCGTGTGCTCCTCAGTGTACGTGGGTGTACTGTAGCCCCTCTCAGTGTACGTGGGGTGTACTGTAGCCCTCAGTGTACGTGGGTGCTCAGTCTCAGTGTACGTGGGTGTGCTGTAGCCCTCAGTGTACGTGGGTGTACTGTAGCCCTCAGTGTACGGGGTGTGCTAGCCCTCAGTGTACGTGGGTGTACTGTAGCCCCCAGTGTACGTGGGTATACTGTAGCTCCCTCAGTGTACGTGGGGTGTACTGTAGCCCCCAGTGTACGGGGTGCTGTGCCTCAGTGTACGGGGTGTCTGTGGGCTCCCTCAGTGTACGGGGTGTACTGTAGCCCTCAGTGGCCGTGTGGGTGTGCTGTAGCTCTCAGTGTACGTGGGTGTACTGTAGTCTCAGTGTACGTGGGTGTGCTGTAGCTCCCAGTGTACGGGGTGTACTAGCCCCCAGTGTACGTGGGTGTACTGTAGCCCTCAGTGTACGTGTGTGCTCTGTAGTCTCAGTGTACGTGGGTGTACTGCTGTAGTCCCCAGTGCGGGTGTGCTGTAGCTCTAGTGCAGTGGGTGTGCTGTGGCTGGCCCTCAGTGTACGTGGGTGTGCTGTAGCCCCCAGTGTACGTGGGTGTGCCAGCCCTCAGTGTACGTGGGTGTGCTGTAGCCTCAGTGCACGTGGGGTGTATTGTAGCCTCAGTGCATGGGCTGTAGCCCCCTCAGTGTGCGTGGGTGTACTGTAGCTCCTCAGTGTACGTGTGGGCACCAGCCCCTCATGTGGGGTGTACTGTAGCCCTAGTGTATGTGTGCTGTAGCCCCTCAGTGTACGTGGTGTGCTGCCCCTCAGTGTACGTGGGTGTACAGTCTTCAGTGTACGTGGGTGTGCTGTAGTCTCAGTGTACGTGGGTGTGCGGCTCCCCATATGTGTGCTGTGCCCTCAGTGTACGTGGTGTGCTGTAGCCCCTCAGTGTGCCGTGCTCCCCCAGTGCGTGGGTGTACTGTAGCTCCAGTGTACGTGGGTGTACTGTAGCCCCAGTGTACGTGGTGTACTGTAGCTCCCAGTGCATGTGGGTGTGCTGCAGCCCCTCTCTGTGTACGTGGGTGTACTGTAGCCCCCAGTGTACGTGGGTGTACTAGCTCCCTGTACGTGGGTGTACAGCCCCCAGTGTACGTGGGTGTGCTAGCCTCAGTGCGTGGGTGACCTGTCCCCAGTGTCGTGGGACTGTAGCCTCAGGGTGTACTGGCCCCCAGTGTACGTGGGTGTACTAGCCCCTCTGTGTACGTGGGTGTACTGTCTCCCAGTGTACGTGGGTGTACTGTCCCCCAGTGCATGGGTGCTGTAGCTCCTCAGTGTGCGTGGGTGTGCTATAGTCCTCAGTGTACGTGGGTGTACTGTAGCCCTCAGTGTACGTGGGTGTACTGTAGCCCTCAGTGTACTGGGTGTACTGTAGCCTCAGTGTGTGTACTGTAGCCTCAGTGTATGGGTGTACTTATAGCCCTCAGTGTACGTGGGTGTACTGTAGCTCCTAGCTCCCTCAGGATACGTGGGCGTAATTGTGTTTGAAGTTCCTTGTAATTTACAGCAGGTCGACCTGTAATAACAGCTGAGTCGTGGATTTCTTTTCGCTAATTAACTCCAGCTGTTGTCCCGTAGTTATAAACCATTGGTAGTGCTCATAATTGGCTGTATCCTGCGTGTTCTTATATATATATATATATATATATATATATATATATATATATATATATATATATATCAACGTAGGAGGATGTTTGAGGACCTGCTACTCTTAGTTTGGCTCAGTACAGTATACGAAAGATAGGAGGTTTTGTGTTTTCTCGCTAGATGGCTCTGCCAAGGTTTGTCGTCTGACAGCGTCTATATACCATAATGTTTGGACGATTCAACACACCTACAGTAGTTTATTATTCATGTAAATAAATGGGTGAAGATAACAATTGACAACTTGAAGTATCAAAACAATGTATCTGCAAAGTCCCGGACTTTGTAAAGGTCGTTAAAATGTGCTGAATCCTCAATAGATGGCGCCACTGTTCGACATCACATTATATACTGTGCTTAAGGCCGCCACTTTCCTATCTTTCCTACATAGTCTGTGATAGTTTGGGCTCATAGTCATGTGTTCCGGAGTTCCGTATCTGTGTTGTTGGTATCTCAAATGAAGTTTGTAATGGAGCAGTACATGAGGGAGAGAAGACCCAAAGGAGGGCAGTATTCCTGGACGGCAAGAGAGGTGGTGTGGTGGTGATCGTATGTATTTTGTAACTGAATAAGATAAAAACTGACGAAATAACACGTTACAAATCTGTAGTAGTTTACAAAGTTCTCCAATAGTGTTTTCGGTGAATTTATAAGGTCTTTCTCTCGCTGTTATTAATTTTGTATTTCGTAATATTTAGACAATTTTAAGACATTTTTCTTCTATGATATTTCCGCCGGAAATTAAGGATAACCGAGATATTAATTTTTCATGATTATTAGATTTGGTCAGTCACAAGTGTCGCCATAATTTGTTTACGTCTCACGGAGGTTGTCTGCCACCCCCTGCCCCCGCCCCCTGCCCTGCCTGCCCGCCCCCGCCTCTGCTCCCGCCTCCCTCCCCCCGCTCCCCCTGCTCCCCCCCCCGCCACCTCCTCAATAAACCAGATATGGCTGAACAGGTGGGGCTGTGCCTACATTGTGATAAAGATTATTTTACGTCAATTGCCGAGTTTTATCAGAATAATAGTGAGGCAAATTCTTATGTTTTTAGAACACAGTGGATTACCGAACAACATTCTTTGTCCAAGATGTGGGGGCATGAATAAGGGTTTTTGGTTGGTTGGTATTTTATTTGTGTGATTTACTCGAGAAAAAATTCAAGTCCCGTCATGATGGGGGGGATATATAAAAAAAAACTAGTGATTTCCGGCAGAAATAAATATCAAATTCGTTGGAAACTCATCAAGTACTATAGGAAAAACATATTTCTAATATCAAAAGAAAGACCGATGCCAGATGTAAGCAAATCATGGCGACACTTGTGACTGAAGAAATCTAATAATTTCCGGTGGAAATATCATAGAAGAAAAATGTCTTAGAATTGTTTAAACATTACGAAATACATATTGATAACAGCGGAGTAAAGACCGGTGTAAGAATATAAATTGACTGTGTTTTCTAACAATATTAAGTGTTCTATTGTAGTGTTCTCTATCAATTGTATACCAGTAGTTCTTTAATAATATTCTCCAGGTGTATAGTAAGTGTTCTCTAACGGTGATCAATAACAGTTTTCTCTTTAAATGTTTTCTAACAGTGTTCTCTAGAAATATTTTATATTTGCTGTTCTCTAAAACTAATATCTCAATATGTTTTCTTGATAATGTTTTTTAAATATATAAATCATTTAAAAAATTGGTTAACAATGTTCTGTAAAATTAATCTGTGTGTTCTCTAAAAAATATGTCCTGACATTGGTCTCTAAAATCATTCTCCAATAATAGTCTGGTTATATTGTTCTCTATTATTAACTAACAGTGTTCTCTACCAGCGAGGTGTAACGCCTGTTGTTGTTGTTGTTACAGGGTTACCAGTAGTGACGCGGGCAGGGGGTAACGTCACCCTCGACTGTCCCGCCGCTAAAGACACCTTCGTGCTGCTCCTCGAATGGCGCTGCCGGGGCTGTCATGTGTGTGTGTGTGTGGCTGTGTGTGTGTGTGTGTGTGTGTGTGTGGCTGTGTGTGTGTGTGTGTGTGTGTGTGTGTGTGTGTGTGTGTGTGTGTGTGTGTGTGTGTGTGTGTGTGTGGTTGTGTGTGTGTGTGTGTGTGGCTGTGTGTGTGTGTGTGTGTGTGTGTGTGTGTGTGTGTGTGTGTGTGTGTGTGTGTGTGTGTGTGTGTGTGTGTGTGTGTGTGTGTGTGTGTGTCTGTGTGTGTGTTGTGTGTGTGTGTGGCTGTGTGTGTGTGTGCTGTGTGTGTGTGTGTGGCTGTGTGTGTGTGTGTGTGTGTGTGTGTGTGTGTGTGTGTGTGTGTGTGTGTGTGTGTGGCTGTGTGTGTGTGTGTGGCCTTACTCCTATTGGTAACTTTCTACACATTTCTCCATTTATTTCTCCCTTCATTGAGGTTTCTGTGTCCCTTTATTCGTAATACGATAGTGGGGAGGAATAGACACAACGGACACACATTCATACAAATTACAATATGATTTCTAAATAATTTATTACAAAAATCATCTTCACCTTCTACACAATTTTCTGTTTAATCTTTATAAAATT